TTGCGAGTCCGAAAGCCTAACCACTAGGCCACCGACGCCACATGACACGTTCACGCTCTGTTGAGACACATGATACACACAATCAGTCAAGGCGCAGATCATGGCCTAATCTCTCTACAGAGGTCAGAGACTGATCAGGTTTTGCACTTTCTGCAAAAACCATTTGCACACGATCATTGTCACCAGAGCAAAAGTAATTGTTACAGAACCAGCCTTTCAAAATATACCAACTCAGCTGGGGCCATTAATACTTCCTTCCAAAGCTACATGTGAGGCATCATGGTAGAATCAGGCGCTTGTCAAAATAATGAAATCGAAGAAACTATTTTTATTCCGAGTGATAAACAAAGTTTTAAATGATACCAATAACTCATGGGGCAAAAAATTGACGAGTGTCTGATTCCACCGCGTCATGACACATATTTCTACTCTCAGTAGTCTCAGCTTCGATCTATGACACTGACATGCAAGCACTGCGACAGAATCTGCGCTTCAAACATAGGAAGAATTAGCCATGAAAGAAGCTGCATAAAGACAACCTTGAGATCATCTTAAGCTAGATTGACCGTCTGCATAGACGAAAAGAGCCCTACAGTCTCATAATGGCTGCCACTGTAGGCCTCAGTCTCATCACAATATCTGGCTGTGAGAGTACTTTGTGAACACATGTGACCATCTGGCAATGGTAAATAAAGGCTAAAGGCTCTTCACTGGCTGGAGGGAGAAACACACGTTTACTATCTGGTAGACTACATTTAGCAAAAGTGTAGACCTATTGCAACCAGAAGATGTGTGAAGCCTCACAATGCATGTCTCAAATCATGTCCTATAACTCAGAAAATGGACAAAAATGAATCGTTTTATTTGTTTGAGTAAAGAGAAGCACATTGGCACAATAATGGTCATTAAGTGCTAGGAAAAGTAAGACAGACTGACAGAAAATAACTGAGAGAAAGTTTTGCAGTATGACTTAAGAATTGTTAAAAAATTTATTGACTTCTAAACAATTCTTAGGTCATTAAAGACCACAAATATTTGAGTTTACACACAAATATAGAACACACACAAATACCTACACACACACACTCAGACACATGACCTGCATAGAGTCAGACAGGTTGCCGACCACTGACCTTGATGGACACCATAGTGACCCTCTCTGGTGCCTCGATGTTGTACCACA